CCGTGGGGAGGCATGGAGGCGAACGGGCGCGGCGGGGACAATGACGCCGCGCGGGCGCCGCTCCTGGCGGGGCGGCGGCGGAACTCGGTGGGGTCGATGCGCGGGGAGTTCGTGTCGCGGCTCCCCAAGAAGGTGCTCGACGCCGTCGACCCGGAGAGGCCCTCCCACGTCGACTTCTCCCGCTCCAAGGGCCTCCTGGAAGGTTCGGTTCGGCAGGCCACCCTCGTGACCTCGCATTACTTCTTCCTTCTCTCCTTCCTTTTCTCTTCTCTTCTTGATTGATTGATCTGTACGTATTTGGCAAGCATTCTGCTGGCTTTTGGCGTTTGGCTTCCGTCGTCGTCATGTTAGCAGCATGTTAGCTACGGGGGAGGTGGCACTTTGTGGGTTTTCCTATTGGAGTCTCATGGGGGTTAACCGGTGCTCATTGGCTGAATGGTTGGTGGCTGTGCTTGTGATTCTGGATTCCGGGATTCCATGGATAATTCGACACTTTGGTGATCACATCCCCGTTATCATGGGGACCAATGGAGGCGCTTATTATGTTTTTTTTTGACAAACGTAGCAGCTATCTTACTTTGTGATGGAACACGACTTCTCTATGTTTCGGTGCTTTGTGGTTGTTTCCAAAGCTTGCAACTTGTAAATACAAGTTATGTTTGTGTATTTGGTGACATTTCCACCTTTCTCTTTTGTTGCCTCAGACCATGCTGTTTAAGATTGGGCCAATATCCCTTTTGCGCCTGTTCTGGTAAAAACTCATTCGAATTATTTTAATTCTTTCTGGAAAAACATTTCTTCAGGCATGAGCAGATGCAGTATGGCGTGGTGTGCCTCTGTTTACAGTTAACCTGAGACTGTACTGTGATTTAGCTGTGCTAGCTAGCACATTGCTCATTTCATTTTTGTTGCCTCTAATCTCTACCGACTTGCCCAACTTTGGTCCTCCCTCTGGATCTTACGGAGTAGTTCAGATACCAAAACATCAAGACAAAACAATCACTTTTCAAAGGGAGGGAACATCTAGAATCTACAATAGCGGCCGGCCTTGGTTTTTAATACCAACATCTCTGTCCGCTGATGTGCTCTTTTCTATGTGTATCTTTGTGGGAAACTGGAAAATTTGGACTTCTCTTCATTGAGATTATTTTTTCAAGGCTGGAGGAATGAGACTTGAACCTCGCAACCTTTTGCACAGTCCTACACCCCTGTTCTTGGATTGGATACTGAATGCGCACCTCTTTGAGGCAGAACAGTGTTGCAAATTTTCAACCACATAAATAAATTATTTGTGAGGTTCCATCGGCTGTACACTTTGATTCTTTAGTAGTTGTTGTGTTCTTTCTCTGTTTCTTTGAAACAAATGGGAGAGTTCTTTTTTACTTCTATGAGTTGTTGGATCTAATCCAATCTTAGCTGTCTCAAGATTGTCCTTATCTGTCCTTTGTTGTTTCTTGGGACAAAAATAGATGTTGAACAGTTGGTGAGACTATCTCATTCATAGTCTGCTAAAAGAACATTGCAACGTTGGAATTCATTATTTTCTGTTCCTATTCCTGTTTTTAACTTTTTAGTTGGTAATATTCCCATTTTTATTTGTTTTCCAGATGTTCCAATTTTTACTTTCCAGATATTTTTTACCTAGAAACCGTTAGTATATTTTTACTGATAAGCTAAGTATGCCAAGATGTGTATGCTGTGGCTTACTATGGTGGAATCTACATTTTTTTTCTTTCAAAATGCTAGAACTAGATAAGGAAGTTTTCTATAACGTTGATAAACAGGTAGTTTTAGTTTATGAGTCTAATCAAGAGAAAGTATATCACTTATGAACTATTCCTAATATTTCATAGTTATTTGATGGTTCCCCACAGAAGTGGTATACGGCCCAATCATTTCTCTCTTTCTATATGAACAATATGAACTCTTTTATTAACTTACTGATTTTGTGTGATTAACTTTTGGGCTTATATAGGAGAGAAAGAATACTACGAGAAACAATTTGCCACCTTGAGATCCTTTGAGGAAGTTGACTCTATAGAAGAATCCAATGTAATAAGTGAAGAAGAGGAGCTCATGGAGCAAAGGCAGAGTGAATTTGCTATGAAGATATCAAATTATGCAAATGTTGTTCTCTTGGCATTGAAGGTTGGTATTTCCCCTCTGTATTTAGTAAACTTTCTTTGGCTCCTTTAGGTTGACTATAGAATTCATGCTCTCTCGTTTTCTTCAGATATATGCCACAGTTAAAAGTGGGTCAATTGCTATTGCTGCATCAACACTTGATTCATTGCTCGACCTCATGGCTGGTGGTATCCTTTGGTTCACACATCTCTCAATGAAGAGCATCAACGTCTACAAGTATCCCATTGGTAAATTGAGGGTACAACCAGTAGGCATTATCATCTTCGCAGCTGTTATGGCTACTTTAGGTATGTTTTTAAGTGATGTCCTTGTTTACTTCTTGTTAGACTATTATCGTTGTATTAAATTTTAAATAATAATTATTTTGCATTTCCAGGATTCCAAGTATTTCTTCAAGCAGTTGAAAAGCTGGTAGTGAACGTGACTCCAGATAAATTGTCCCCACCACAACTCATGTGGCTATATTCAATCATGATCTTTGCAACAGTAGTTAAGCTAGCCCTGTGGTTCTACTGCCGGACCTCTGGTAACAACATAGTCCGCGCCTATGCTAAGGTTTATATCTGTTTCTCAATTTGACTAGATTCAAATGAACAAATGAACATAGTTTACCAGAAGAAATGGGCTATTTTTCGCAGGATCATTATTTTGATGTGGTCACGAATGTCGTTGGTTTGGCTGCTGCTGTTCTCGGTGACATGTTTTACTGGTGGATTGACCCAGTTGGTGCAATCGTCCTTGCAGTCTATACAATTACAAACTGGTCTGGAACAGTGTGGGAAAATGCAGGTTTGCAGTACTTGCTATACCATTAAAACTTGACACATATAGTTCTCCAATCATATAAATAATCTGATGCCACAGGAAAATATTTGGTACAAGAACATCAGTTAGGACACATTGATTGTAGACCTACTGGACGTGGATGCCTCAGACTCAAACTCTATGAAACATGTTATATTATTAAATAAAGTTGAAGAATCAGACCCTCCTGTCGATTTCCATTAAAGAAACCGCCAACAGTTTTAACAGTCTTTTTTATATAATTAATTAATAGAAATACATAACTTGAATCCACTGATTAGTCTGACAGATTTAGGACTGATATATAAGTAAAATTGCTGCATGTTACAGTTTACAGATGACGCTAGCCTGACATATGGTTATTTATTAACACATATTGCTATCCTTGATGCAGTATCGCTAGTAGGTGAATCAGCTCCCCCAGAAATGCTGCAGAAGTTGACATACCTAGCTATCAGACATGACCCTCAAATTAAGCGTGTTGATACAGTTCGGGCATACACCTTTGGGGTGCTTTACTTTGTGGAGGTTAGTATATCCTACATCTATTTTCCGTTATTTTTCATGCTCTTCTTTTAAGTGAATATATATTCCCTTCCCTGCAATACTAACCAAGATATGTGTACTATATCACGCATCTGTTTGAGACCCTGGGTCTTCACTAATTCTAATTGAACACTTATTACTGCTTTATTTATTACTGTGTGTTTTCCATAGCATTTGTTGGAAGTAGTAGTTGAAACAGTACTGCATAAACGAATGAGATGTGCACGGTGGGTTAGGAACTGGATTCAGTAACTTCATACATACAAATAGTACCCAACATATAAGTACTTGTATGAACTTCACAACTCATGCTATCAGTGGACTGGCAGGTCGATATTGAGCTCCCGGAGGACTTGCCACTCAAGGAGGCGCATGCCATTGGAGAATCACTCCAGATAAAGATCGAGGAACTTCCAGAAGTCGAGCGGGCATTCGTTCACCTTGATTTCGAGTGTGACCACAAGCCAGAGCACTCGATCCTCAGCAAGCTTCCTAGCAGCCAGCCTTGATTACCATCCGAATTCACTGTGGAAAACGCAAGATGTTGGATATTTTGCTTGCCGTGCAGGATTCGCTACAGTACTTGGTGTCTTGCATTGTTGGCCATCTAAATGAGATAAGCACCAGCGTTGGAGACTATAGACTTGTTTCGCGGAGCCCTCTAAATGTCGTGTTTCGAGTAAAAGTAGGTTATTTTTGCTTCTTGAAGCTGTCATTGTTTGTCTGCGATGAGGGCTGCAATGTGGAAATGTTTGCTACAAAAAGAAAGCAAGCGATTTTTGTGTGCTCAAAATCAGTTTTGTGAACTAGGGTCGCAAGGAGCGAGCTAGCCCACCCGGGCTCGAGTCCTAAGTGGACCGTGGTGCTTAGAGATTTCTGCTATAAAAATATACCTTCAAGGGTTAGTTCTGAATGGTTTTGTTTTTCTTTAACTTAGTATGCCGCTCTTTTACTTGTGTGGTTTGTTCTAAGAAAAAGAACATTTGAAAAATGATACACTATCAACTTCGTTTGTAAATAGGTCATGTTTTAGACCTTTACGTGGTATCCAACATGTGTTTATGAAAATTTGTATGTTTGTGAAATTTTCCTGAACTTCTACAATATTTTCATATATATATTAGCGCTCTATATTTGCAAAGTTTGGTTGTACACTTGCTATGAAATCATATATTTACGGCTCAACTACTAATCTATTCATTGGTACTTTTTATTGACGGTAATCTATTCGTTTTTTAAAAGGACAGTAATCTATTCGTTGGTACTTAGGGCATGTACAATGGTGACATATGGATACAGTTGCCTCATGACAAAAAGTAGTTTGAGACATCTATATTGATTTTTCTTCCCAATGCAAGCTACTGCTGGTGGGTCTCAAAGAACAGAAAGTGACTCTCACTACACATGTATCCCTACTCTCCACTTCAACTTTTCCAACTTTATGCAACAAACCATATTTTTTTCCTCCAAGCACCTGCCTCCTGCAAAGGATCCCGCTTCCTCGTCCAAACTATTTCTCTTGTCATTCGATCCTACATGGCATGCGAGACATCACCCTGGAGCTATGCATTGGCCATGCCCTTAGCAGTTAGCGCCCCCACGGGTGCGGGTATGTGCCGCTTGCTGCGGGACACATGGCTGCCTCCCCTAAAGGGCCCAGTGGTGGGCCGGCCCAGTAGGACATAGGTCGATGTCACTCGTTTCCTCCCTTTTCCCTTTTATTTATATGTAAATGCATATATATTAATAAGTTAATTTACTTAAGAAATTTAAAACCACGTATTTGAACATTGTTTGTAACAATGAAAAATGTTTCCCATTTCAAAAAAATGGGTGCGAAGTTTTAAAACATGTGTATGCAATTATAAAAACAACATTTATGTAATGTAAAAAAGTCACACTATCATAAAATGTACGTGACATTTTGTTAAAATATTCCTGTGTTTCAAAAAAATGTTTATGACATTTAAAAAGAGGTTATATAGAGTGTAAAAAATGTACACCTAGGTTAAAAAAAGGTTTACTTCCATTAAAAAGATATACGTGACATTTTAAATAAATATTAACATCTTTACAAAAAAATGTCCGTGAAAATTTTAAAAATATTTATACAATGTGGACAAAATGTTCGCGTGAATAAAAAGGTTTATTGACACTATAAAATGTACAATATGTATTTGGAAAATGTTACCTTGTATTAAAAATGTTCAAAACATGTATTTAAAATATGTACAACTTGTATTTGGAAACAAAAATTCGTCTATTCAAAAAAGTGTATAAAACATGTATGTTTAGAAATGTACATCCTGTATTTGAAAAATGACCGACGTGTCAGAAAAATGTTTCGCGTTTGCTCTAAAATAATACTTTGTGTACTGAGAAAAAGTAGAAATGTGTTGAAAAAAATAAAACAAATTAACACTGACAAAGAAAGAAAAAAGGAAAAGGAAACCAAAGAAAAACCAATAAAATCAAGAAAGAAACAAAAAAAATCAAAGGATAACGAAAAAAACTAAAAAAGAAAACAAAAGAAAAATAAACAAGGAAAGAAAAACTAAAGAAAGCCGATGATAAAACAAATAAACTAGAGAAAAAAACAAAACAAAAAATGAACTAAGAAAATCAGAGCAAAGCGAATATACAACGCGATACGAGCGGCAACGAGTAACCGCGCTCATGGGCCGGCCCGCTAGTTGTCACCCTTAGGCGATTCCTTGTTAGAAATCTGTAGGGGCGACATGTAACATTTGCGTACTCCAAGAGCAACTAACCAATGGTTACCCCTTGCGAGGCTCCCACAAAGGGTCATTCCTTTTGGCCTGGGATCGCGCCACACGGTGTGCCCAACCGCTTCCACTTGTCGCACAATGGGAGCTCCCTCTGTTTTTTTTCTGTACATGTCTCAGGGTTGTGTTTTTCCGTCTTTTCTTTTTTTGGCTGGTTTTTCCTAGGTTTTGAAGAATTTTTTAATTTATTTAATTTATTTTGCAACACATAGTTGTGCTTCTTGAAAATAAAAGCAATTTATGTTTTCACGAGAATTATAGTTATGTTTCTCGTAGAAGCACATATTTGCCTCCTCGAGAAGCACAGTTTGTGCTTTCGTGAGAAGTAAATATGTGCTTCTTTCGTGAGAAGCACAACCTATGCTTCCTCTCAAAAATTGATAACCGCAACCATACTTTCGGGCTCTGTGTTCTTTCTTTTCTTCTTTTCTTTTGATGACTTCTTATGGTATTCACTTTTTTTTGGTTTTTAGTTATTTCGTTCTTTGTGTAAAAAGATGTCGAAACCTATTAAAATGAGATTTAGTTTTGAAGATCTCGACCCAAGAAATCTAACGATGAAAACAGTCTGGTATTTGGACTCATGGCTTAAAAGATAAAATGTTTTGAATAAAAGAATTAAAAAAAAGATTCAGCTCAAAAAAAACGAAAAAAAACGAGACGTCAGGATCGACCGTACCGGACGTTTCCAAATTGCAGTGCTACACGTCAACTAGGTCGAGATCTCTGCCACGTGAGGTTCGGGCCTAGACAGAGTAAAGATCAGCTTGATGCCAGGCTAGTGTCTGTTTTTTTCCTCCCCAAATAAAGAACGAAAGAGAGAGTGATGACACGGAAACATGTGGCCCGTACGCGAAACAAGGATCCAGCACATGGCCTCTGGACTGGACTGGACACGCATTCGCATTGAAGAGATATACACATGCATATACGTACACGTACGCGCCCCTCGCTTCCAGATGCGTGCGTACGAAATCCCCGTGCGACGGAGATATTCCTTCATCCGATGGTTCACACAAGCATTTCTCCTCATCCTCATAAATAAAAACACGGACCAACTTATGGCAACGTTGTGGTTGCTGTGTACGTAGTTAACTGGACCGTACCGTGGCTTTCATGGTGGAGTTTTGAGACGGTAATGCGCAGCATGTACTCGTTTCCATCATCTTGGCTCCATATGTTGTGGTACTAGCAAATTTTAGAACACGGCTCCATATGTTACCATTGGGGTCGCTTTGCTGATCGTAAGGGCATTTTTACCGATGACCTGCAAATTTTCTTCTGCATCCATCCATGAACAGAAAAATTGGTCCATGGATATGGATGCAAGAAACCGCTGCCTGCATACAATTCAAACACTATATGAACCAACGAATGTAATTCGTTCAAACACGGCGGAATTCATTAAATTTCAAACATAGTTTACATAAAAAGATCGATATTTCGACCGTTTAGCTAAAAACTTATAAAAAAAACCTAAACTCTATACTGGACGACCACCTCGTACGCATGGCCACCATGCCCCGCCGTGCCGTCGCCGTCGTCCCTCCAGCAGCGCAAGGCTTTCAGAGGGCCGCGACAGCCTTGTTCGCCGGCTGCCTGCCGCTCGCGGCGTAGCTACTCCGCCTCCTGCCTTGCGGTTCGGAGTGTCACCGCGCCCAGTGCCGACGATGCGGGAGGAGCCCTGACGGCGGCATTGCCCTTGCCAGCATCGGAAGTCTCGCTAAGAGACCACTCCTCGCCGTACTTGGTGATCTCATTGTCGAGGCAGCGGCGTCTAGCGTTTGTCTCATTGGTAGTGACGAAACGGTTGAGGGCCCATGTGGCGGCGAGGTCCGGATCGGTGCGGACCCATTCCGGTGCCTCGTCGATCTTGGCGAACGAGGAGCGGCGGGCGGCGTTGCGCAGGTCGTATCGCGCCCGCTAACGCGCAACCCACTTCTCCTCGGAGGCGGCGACCCTCGACCCCGAGGGAGCGCCGACACCGCCGTCTTTGAGGTAACGGAGGATGTCGTCGCATGCCTTCTTTATGGCCCGCGACAGGTCCTCGACAGCTTGACGGCGAATGCGGTGGAGTCGCGAGTCGGGCCCGCTAATGCGCACGTATAGGCTGTGCGCAGGTGTCGACGCGGGCTCGTCCTTCACACGGCGTGCAATCTGGACGCCGCGACCGCGACTGCGGGAGGGAGAGGAGAAGAGGGCTCCTCCTTGACCCGTCGGGGTAGGGACGTCGGCGCTGGCTCGACGCGGCAGCACAGCGGGGACGATGGCTCCTCCTTGATCCGAGCCGGCGACGGTGGTGCCAGGTCCATCTGACAGGGCGAGCACTCCGTCATTATCTACATTTGACTAATGAAGAACGGATTCTTTGTCCGTCAGAGCTGCCTTCACGAGGAGGCGCGGCCGCTACTTCGACTGTTGTTGTGGCTCCTTCTGCAGCTGCTAGTCCTCCTCGTTGACGGAGGAGAAGATGATCTCCTCCTTGGCGGACGAGCGCGGGCGTCGGTGCCAAGATCCACCCGAGGATGAACTACCACCGCGACCACTTGTCGGCGCGGACCATCACGACTTAGGCATCGCCGCCGTAGGAGAAGGGGCTCGGAGAGGAGGAGGCGTCCGGAAAGAAGGAGACGCGCATGTGCATCACCGGAGCACGACTTTTATAGCCGCGGTTAGGCCAGACGAACGGGTGGTCAGCTCACTTCAATGCGGCGCAGCGGCCG